AGATCACCGGTCTCTCCAGGACCCACGGCGGTAGGGCCAAGACAAATCCCCATCCTGGGTCTGGCTGCGGCCACACAGGGACGAGAGCCGGCATGTACATTTTATGATGACCGCCTCGGCACAGATCGACAAGATCCATTGCCTCATCAACACTCTCCGGGATCCGAAGGTGAAGCTGCAGAAGTTCCGGCACATATTCTGGCGCCAAGAGACAGAAGGTGACATCCATGAGAATGCTGTCATCCGACCCTGCCGCTTCCGAATCTGTGCCAGCCCCGAAAGGGAGCCAACCTGAAGGGGGGATAGGCCATGTCTGACCCAACATTTGCGTGCCCTGACGTGCAGCCTCCAGGACACTAGCTGCAATTGCGGTGTGCGAGGGAGGATCTTGCAGAAGCTTAACGCACAGACCTGGCAGGCTGGAGAAAGGGGGGGCCGACAGGAGGACAGGGGTGCGGGCCTGCTTGCCTTCAGCAAAGGCGTCGTGCTTGATAGCAGCACCACACTTGACTACTCGACTATCAACCCAACTGGTCCCTAACTCTAAAACCTGCCGGAAAACTCGGTGGATCAGGCTAGCAGGTCGTCCTGGCTTGCTCTCTGCAAGGAGTGAGACTGTGGCCGTGGGTGAACGGCTGCGGTGGCCAGTCCTGCTATGTCGGGCGGCCTTGACATTAGCATGAGGAGCCTGAAAGGAAGGACCACGACCTGTGGGTGGTCCACCTGTGGGCGGGCAGCCTGGACGATCCGGCGCGTCCGGGGGGCGATCATCGCCAAGGCCTCCTTCTGAGAGCAGGTCTTCTGTGTATTCAACCGAGATAACCTGTCCGGAACGGAGCAGGAGCACAGGACCTGCTGGGCGGTTTTCGACGTCTCCCCCCCGAATGGAAACGAAATGTCCTTCAGGACAACCGGCGCAGAACTCGGCAGACAGAGCGGCAACCGCAACCGCTGGCTCCTGCAATAATCGCCAAGCAAACCCTTTGCAGATCTTCCGGAGGTCTAAGATTAGAACAATCCGGTGTTCTCGCACTCGGGCGGGTGGACAAGGCAGGGGTGACAGCTGTGTAGTCGCAACTACAACGGTCGTGATGGGAACACCACCAAAGAAACCGTCAAGAACTCGAGGCCATGCTGGCTTGACAACAAGCTGTGCTTCACTGGCCCCAAGAGAGACTGCAAGATCCTGTCGAAAGTAAGCCCGTCGCCCTGCAGCAATCGCAAAAACGAAAGGCATGAGAACCAACACATGGCTACCCGGGTAGGCGTCAGGCCCAAAGGGGAATGCCTGATTGTCCCACCCTTCAGGGTGCTGAAGGTGTGTTTCGAGGTTGGTACCTGCAGGCGCTCCTGAATGTGGTGGTGACACAGTAACGGTCATGCCACTACGAAGGGTAATGTGCTGACCTCTTATGAGTGGATGAACCAAGCCATGCACGAAAACCTGGAGGTCTCCTCGCGGGTCCAGGCTCACAGTGTGAAGGAGCGATTCTCTGTTCAGTCGCCCTGCCGCATAAACAGCCTGCAGGCACTCGTTGACCTGCCTGCTGTCAACTAGGACCACAACCTCCTCCTGCAGCCAGGAGGGCGCAGCAAGCAGGATGGCATGTTCAGGGTACGGTTGAGGATGGGCCGGATAGATGTCAGGAAAGGCCAAATCTCTGTCAGCTGCCCGGTCGGCCCGAACGTGGTGAACAAGCTCAACGGTGCTGCTGGGAAAGGCCACAGTGACATGGCACATTTCGGGCGCCAATTGCGGGGTGTAAACTAGGGCTAGGATCTCCTGGCGCACGGCGTCATCACCTTGCGCGCTGGTGTCCATTGGCGCCCCTGTCTGCGCAACCAGATTATCATGCATGTCTCGGGGACCTGGTGGACCTGACGCATGTGCGCTTGATGCGGCACTAGCTGCGCTGTCGTTCCCGACGGCATGCCCTGTGTGCGCCGGATCGACGTCCATGTCACCACTAGCGCCTGGCCCTACAATCATGTCCCATAGCTCGGTCCATTCCCCGGGGGCCGCTGCGCCCGAAACGTCGGCTGGCGCAGCAAGGTGCGTGCCGGCGTTCCAGCTATGCCCTTCCGGCAGAGTGGTATCCACATAACTCGGGCTGGGGTGTGTCCCAGCCGCGACGGCACCTGAGTCACCCAGCATGGACGCGTCCTCAGCTGCTCCGGAGGTGGAGCTGTCACTGGAGGAGGCTTCGGCAGCTGCCTCGGGCGTGGCAAGGCCGGCCTCCTCCGCATAAAAGAGGAGTGTACAGTTGCTTTCGACAAAAATGTCATCGCCTCTGCGGTCTCCGCCTAGTACAGCGACCCTGTACACAGGCTGGAGTGCAATGTCAAACTGGACCAGGAGACTGGGTAGGTGCACTGCAGGAAAGTTGGTGTACACAAACCGCGGCTTCAGACCGAGGGGACGGAAATCCAGGAGAATGAAGATATCCCGAACTTGTTGTCGAGGGAGAAAGCCAGGAGGCGCTGTCTCCGCAATGGCAACAATGAAAGGACAGTGATCTCCTTGCACATCCAAATCATGAATGGGGAAGGCACAGGTTGTGACCCGGTGTGGATCCAATTGCAGACGCTGAAGGAGAAAATCAACAGTCGTTTCACCCGGGTGATGGTGGTGCAGAAAAGTATACCTTTGATCCCTGTAAAGAGCACACACACACCTTCAGAGGTCTCGACAGAGGGAAAATGGTGAAGCGGCCCCCAAGCTGCATCGCTAGTGAAAAGGGCCTCATACCAGATGCGGGGAAACCTGGCCTCGGGCGACCTCGCAAAGGTTATGGCTAAACCATCACTCAACTGCACCTCTGTCCGCTCCGGCCAAGGCTTGGCTCTGCACCCCACATAGAAAATGAGCGGCGCATCGTCGTACCATGTCAGCGGAGTAACATAATCGATCAGGGCCTGGAAAGAAATCCGCTTGGGAAGCACCGTCGGGAAGTATCGACCTCCTACACGTGTCAAGTCGAGAATGACCGCGGCCCAACCTGTGTCCCCACAGCCTCTGATCGCCCTGGGAAGCCGGATGAAAGAGGCGAATGCAGCAAAACGCTGTGGGAGGACCGGTACGTAGATGTCGAAAAGTCCTTCAGGAACACCCGGCGCTAAGTCAGCAACCATGTCCGTGACAACATGCGGGTCACGGGTTCCCGGTTTGACGGCAAAGGTGACAGCCTGGTAGTGTGGGGTATACACGGTGACACCTAGCCAACCTGGGTCCGGAACCTCATCATTCTCAGGTGCAGGACAGGGGAGTTTGCCTTCGAACAAGTGACGCGCACGTCGTGCGCCCAGGTCCTCATTGCGCCAGGGCAGGTCATTGTGGCAGGATCCCACATGAGCCGTGAGCTCATCCGGAGGGATCAGCTGTGGCCTGCGCAGACTTAGATCATGCCCTGGAGGTTCCCCGGGATGGGGCGGGCGTCCCATCGCAGCAACGCAGCCTGGCATGAGCCACAGTCCCTGAAATCCATGTGCGGCTTGCACGGGTACAGGGAGGGAGCTTAAACCCAAGAACAGCCACAAAAGCCGACTACACCCAAGGGTCAGCGGCCTCGCACCTAAGCGGGCCCTCCTATCTGCAGAAGAAGAGAAATGGTGAGGGTGGCTCCCTTCTGGATCCCACTGGAGGAAGCAACCTCCTCCCCGGAAACCTTGACAGGCCTTCAGCATGGAACGCGAACATCCGACTGGTACTCGACGACACTGTGGAAACCAAGGCCGACGCCCAGTTGTGAGGGGTCGGGTCCATAGCTGAACCAAAGCGCAACAGATGCAAATCCAGAAAGTGCGGAAGAAGGGAACCCAAAGAGCCCAGGCAAGGCTCAAACAAAAGTCGCAGACCTCCTGGAAAGGCTTCGTCCTCCCTCGCGGGGAGGTTTGGCGGCGAGTGAGAGGTCCCTGCGGATCCTCGGACACTGTCAATGACGGATGCCAAAAACCACGGGCTGCCGAACAGGGAAACCACCAAAACCCGTCGGCAACACCGCTCTGAAATGAAGAGTCGAACCCATCTGGCACGGGCAGACAGAAGAGCTGTAGAAGGGCAAGACGGAAGGTTACGACCCCAGAGCCACCGATGTCGTTATTAGGCACGCTTCCTGCATTTATAAACCAAAAAATCCCGAGCCAAGGAACAGGTGGGGGAGCACCCCGGCACTTACAAGGCTGGAAAAGAGGTGGTGTGCGAAAGGCCGTAGAGGAGGCCACATGTAGAGCACAAGCATCCCGGAAAGATGAACGGGCCGGAAGGACCCAAACTTGACAGAAGGTTACTACCCCAGAGCCACCGATGTAGTTATTAGGCACGCTTCTGTCCGAAGGGGTGGCAGAATGCAGGTCGCATCGATGCTGCCAAGGCGGAGCCGAACCACTGTGACATGTAAAACCAATGCCCCAGCGGTCGGCAGAGGAGGAGGCTGAGTCCAGGACTGGACACACCAGAGCCCTAGGTGGTCCAGCCTGGCTCCAGCAGGCAACAGAGAGTGAGCAGGCCGGAAGAACCCATGCTGGACAGAAGGTTACTACCCCAGAGCCACCGATGTAGTTATTAGGCACGCTTCTGTCTGAAGGGATGGCGAAGTGCAGGTCGCATTGGTGCAACCGAAGCGGGGCCAAACCACAATGGCATACAAAACCGATGCCATAGTGGTCGGCAGAGGAGGAAGCTGAAACTGGGACTGAACACACCAAAGCCCAAGGTGGTCCAGCCCAACTCCAGCAGGCAACAGGAAAGTACGTCAGGAAAGGGCTGTCGAACCCGCAGAAGACCTGAAAAAGAGCAGGCACATCACTATCCTGAGCTGTACAGCAAACCTCTGTACACTGGAGGAGTCCACGGCCAGCCCATGCTTCCGCCAAGTGAAAGAAACATTGACCGAGGTGCTCACTGGAACAGTCGACTCCCAACAGTCGACTGCTCTCCGGGCGCCACAGCCTGTGAATCTCACCGGGCGAAAGAACAGGCGATCGAGACTCCTCCACTACGGTCAGGAGAGGCCGTGTAGTCCCGCTTCGGCTTGTGCCTGCTGTGTCTCCAGATCCGGATCGTCCTCCATGAACATCGAACCCTGGGCAGAACCCTGGGCGGCTTCCTGTGCTGGCTCCGGAGCTCTGCCACCAAAAGGCCTTAAAGCCCGCCGCTCCTGCTCTCGCCTGGTCTCCAACTTGGTGGCGAGACTGGGGCCTGTCGGCGGCGGCTGCGGCGCGGTCGAGGCCACCGACGCAGTCTTGATGTCTGCTCGCGGAGGCAGCTGAGAGGTGGGCTGCCTCACTTGAGTAGGATCTCTCTGACCGGGATGGAGTGGAGAAGTTCTCACTGTCCTCTCCGTGGCAGCTTTGACCTCCGTGACGGGTGCCGGCATCCTCCCCGGCGAAGCCGCACAGAAGGGTGGAGCCGGTGCTGTACCCTCCGCCAAGCCAGGCGGAGCAACTGCGGCCGGGGGCTCTGCATGATAAGCCGGCGGACCAGCTGGTCCCGCCATCATACTCTCCAGAGAAGGTCCAATCATGCCAAGAAGCTGTTGCACGATCTCTGGCCGTAGCTGCCGTGCTGGTGAGGTGAGATGGCCTGTCCTGGCTGCCTCCAGAGTCTGAGCGAGGAGTGGCCCTGGCTCCGAAGCCTCTGGAGCAGCGATCAAAGCATCCCATTGAGCATTGGCTGCTGCAACATCCTGTGCGGGCTCCGGCTCCTGGATGCCATGGGAAACCAGATATCGCGCCTTGTCCGCGGCGTCCCTGCCAGCTGCTAGAGTGGCCAACGTCTCCTCTTCCAGGCGGGCCATATCTCTCTCGTACATTTGTCGTTGCTTGACAAACTTGGCCTTCGCCCCAGCGGCATAAACATGCCACTGCTTGGTCTTCAACGCCTTCTCCTCCTCGATCTTGCGGATCTTGGCGTCCATCTTTCTGGCGTGAGCCGCTGTCTTCTGAAGCTCCTGCATGATCCGGGAGTCGCCCTCTGGCAAAGCACCGACTTCGGGTCGGCGCCCCTGAGCTCACACCCCGCTCTGGCTGGTCCACCTCCACTTGGTCGTAGCGGGTGGGAGAAGTATTGGTCTTGGCCCCAGTTCCAGGCCACCAGGGTCCACGCCAGTATTCCCAGTACTTGGAGTCCCTGCCGTCGTAGGCCCCATGCTGCCCGCGTTGCTGCGGGTACTGGTCCTTCTTCCATTTGCCTCCTCGACCCATCAAGAGCTGCAGCCGTCTCCGATGGGCGGGACAGGTCCCGTGGTGCTCCACTAGAGCACGGAGGTGTTTTGAGGCAGGAAGACGCCCCTTTTGCAGTTTCGCTCTAGCCTTAGAGCGATGGGCGCGGAGGCGCCGATGCCAGTTAGGCGAGCCGACAGCCGTTTCGGCTGGCACTACGTGCTGGGGCCACAAACCCTTCCCGCTGCTGGGATCCTCTTGGGCCCTGAGGCTACTATAGGTAATTATTTAGGCCCCTACATTACCTCATAATCATCTCCTTTCAACACTAGAAACCTGAAGAACTGTTTCAAACAAACCCAAAGTCCTTCTTTATGGGGGTTACGGGAAGAACCCGGCGTCCGGTTTGGGGTTGGAGGGATCAGGGCAGTTCGGCTCTAGGGGTGCAAGTGTAAAGGGCTAAAGGCTCCAGGCTTCGGGGCGTTGGGGTTTAGGGCTTTAGGCCCTTTGGGGAGTTTAGGCAGCTTAGGGTTTAGAGTTTAAGGCTTTGGGGCTTTAGGGCTTTAGGGTTGGATTCGGGCATACGGATCAAGGGCTTTCGAGCTGGATTGGGTTAGTCTCGAGGCCTCAACAAGCTCAGGGATTAGAGTCTGAGGCTTGGGGCAGAAGGTTCACAATTTAGGAAAAAGAACTCTGTTTCCGAAGCCTCGGCCCACCAACAAAACGAAACCGACCCCGCCAACCTGAAGAGACAAAAAACAGAATGGGACGCAATATCAGATCCTTAACAATTAGAACAGGGTTTGTCGCAGATTATACGATAAATACGATAACCACGATAAAGAACCTTAAGACTTAAGGAGCAGTCTCAGTCATTGAACCCTACACCCAAAGCTCTTAAACCCGCAACCCTAAACCCCTGCAGCAACGAACGAAGGAGCAGAACCGGCAAGGCCAAAAACACAGAAAGCAACCTCAAGCCCTCGACGCGCAAACATCTAGACCCTCAACCCCTAAACCATAAACCCCAAACACTAAACTCTATCATAGGGGGCCGCAAGAATCAGAAAAGGCGTTTTGGGGTCGACCATGAAATAAGGTAACTGGGGACTGTAGGGACTATAGTGTGAAAAAACTTGCGCGCATTGCAGTCCCAAACCTACTTGCCGGGTATCATGGGGAAGTAAAGGTTTAGCTTTTTGGTTATATAGGGACTATACTGCCCAAAAAGGTTAAAGGTTCCCTACTCTACTACTAGGCAAAACAACCCGAGCCTGGCCTCTTCCAAGGCCGCTTGCATGCAGACGCGGAAATCCTTCGCGACCAGGTCCTGGACATAAACTCCCTGCTCCAACTGGGCCGAAGCCCTGAGGCCCTCAACCCTCAACCCGACACCCTAAACCCCTCAACCCCTCAACCCTAAACCCCTAAAGCCTCAACCCCAAACCCCTAAACCCCTAAACCCTCAACTCCCAAACCCCAAACCCCTAAAGCCTCAACCCCTAAACCCCAAACCCTCAACCCTAAACCCCCAAGCCCCAAACCTTGGGATCAACAGAGGAGTCCTCGATGGGAATGTCGACTGGGAGATGGCTGAGCCCTGTTTCGGGGAAGGGTTTCTTATGCTTTCGGGCTTAGGGTTTCGGGTTTAGGGGTTGGGCTTTAGGGTTTCGGGTTTAAGGGTTTAAGGGTTTCGGGTTTAGGGTTTAGGGGTTGGGATTTAGGGCTTGGGGAGTTTAAAGGTTTAGGGCTTGCAATAGGAGTTTAGGGGTTTAGGGGTGGGGGGTTTGTGCCTTCGAGAATTTGTGGTTCTTGCGGTTCAGGCCCCCTTTCGTGCTTCAGCACTCTTTTTCAGTCTGGCATCTGGCCTTTAAGGGTTTGATGGCTAGGTTTAGCATCTGAGATGTAGGAGAGCGGCGTTCCTTGGTAGGAAGGATTGCGTCTTCAAGGGCCTTCGGGGCTCTAGAGCCTAAACCGACTTCATGTAAACTTCGGAGTCTCTCACGTTCAAGGAGGACAGTTCCTTGAGTTTAAGGAATTCTGCAAGTCGGGGGGTAAGGAGTCTGTTTCGGAATCCGAGGGCTGTTTGAGTGCTTGCTGGGCCTCCTGGGCGGGGTCAGCCTCCTTCGGCAAGGCTTTGGGCTTCTGGGTTCTTCCGCATTCACAAACTCCGAACCCGAAGCCCCACTCCTACGGTTCATGATATAAATCCTGCACTGGAATATCCCATGATTCCCATAGTTTAGGGTCCTTAAGGTAATGCAGGATTTCTAGCATCAACCGTAGCGACGCTATTCCGAACGCTGAACCCTGAGTTGTCAACCGAAGCCCCATGTCCGAAATGCTATATGCCAGCTTCAACACGGCATTGGGAACAAGACTAGTGCGCCTTACTCAGGTGTTGCTCCTGTGTCGTACTGTCAAGACGCAGGCCACTGTATATCTTGGGAGCGTCTGGCTTCCATGATACGAGTATGTCATACATCTCTCCGCAACAGTGGCAGAACCCTAAACCCTAAGTCCTAAGCCCTAAACCCTGAACCCTAAACCCTAAAAACCCTAAACCCTAGATGTTGGCAACCCCAGACCCGGAGCCTAAGGATCCAAACATGAAACGTACAATGCCCCTACTATACTGAACTTAGAACCCTAGCAACAATTATAATTTTAGCTGTTTCTCAGGGATGCTAATGACCCAAAAATAAAAAGTACAGTATTTCTAAGTACCCCTAAGTAGACTAAGCTCGATGCTACTACTCTGAACCCAGGTATCAAACTCGGAGCAAGATATGGGAGCTCGGGAGACAGCTAGAGCTAGAGCTCGGGAAAGAGCTACAACTAGAGCTTCCGAAAATTAGGGGTACCTGATTTGGAGGTCCTTAATGTAGGATCCTACTATTTGGGGTACTATCTTGGGGTCCTCTATTTTCGGAAACTCCCATAGTTTACATCTGAATCTGATATGTAAGACCATGTTCCGGAACAACAGTTCACATCCCCTAAACCCCAAACCGGGCCCAAACCCTAAACCCTAGTCCTCTGAGCTCTAGGACTCCACGATCCTATCCTGTTTCAATCATGAAGACCTGAACCCGAAACGGACCTAAAACCGAAACCCTCACCCCTAAAGCCCTAAACTCCTCAAGCCCAAACCTTAAACTTCTGAAGCCCTGGCCCCTAAAACCCTGAGCTTCGGGGTGCTTATAATAAGGGTCCTACTATTCAGGGTTTAGGGTCCCCCATTTTCGGAAACTCCTCAAACCCTAAACCCCCACCTGTCAGAGTGAGGCTCGTAGTGCCGCCTCCGCAGACGCAGCAAAGCTGCGTGATGCTGAAGTCCTCACTTAACATGCGGGTGGTTATCAGGAGTATAACCCCTTTTTGGATGATCCCTTTTTGGATGATCCCTTTTCGGGTACCCTAAATATTAGGTCGTACTGTATTAAGGACCCAAAAGTGACCAACATTTGGACAACCACCCATGTGGTTTCGGGGTTTAGGGCTTTTAGGGTTTAGGGTTTAGGGCTTAGGGTTGTAGGGTTTAGGGCTTGGGGTTTAGGGTAGGGTCTCAATGATTGGAATTTGGGGGTTGGGGAATTTGTACTCTACTCATAACACAGAGCCCCCAGCACAAGAGTGGCGTTTCGGAGCCGTTCAGGGGTTTGGGCTTTGGGCACCGGGCGTGGGGTCGAGATCGTCAGTTTAAGCTCTCCGGTTGCAGCTCCAGGGCTGAAGACAAAGAATGAGGAAACAGGGTTTAGGGTTTAGGAAACAAGGTTTAGGGTTTAGGGTTCAGGGTTTAGGGTTTGGGAAACAGGGTTTAGGGTTTAGGGTTTAGGAAACAGGGTTTAGGGTTTAGGGTTTAGGGTTTAGGGTTTAGGGTTCAGGGTTTAGGGTTTAGGAAACAGGGTTTAGGGTTTAGGGTTTAGGAAACAGGGTTTAGGGTTTAGGGTTCACGGTTTAGGGTTTTGCAGATAAGCAGACAGCTGGTCATGTGTGCAGATGCTGGTGCGTGGTGGCTTACAGGGAAGCTACGGAACATCACCCTTGGGCTGCAGTAGCATAGCACACCATAGCCTTTTGCGAAGCCTGCAAGAGCTTCTTAATTAGAGGGAAACAGTCACACGTATCATGTACAACTTTTAGTGTGCAGGCCTCTGAAGTGTGCAAGGACAGTCGTTTGTTAGCGAGAAAAAGAGATCGAAGCGTGCCCATCGTTTGAATCATGGCTGCTGTAAATTCGTCAGATGCTTCATTGCATCAACAGGTTATGGGCGCCCAAATGCTGCAAGCGCAAACAGCTAATGGGGTGATCCCGGACGGCCAGAGTGGAGCTACACAACCGGCTCCCAGCCAGGATCCTCCGCCGGAGGACTCCGCTATTCCGATGACATCTGGCAGTGCTGCATATGTGACCGCGGATGCAACTGTGCAAGGGGCGGCAGGCGATGTGCTGCCTAGTGCACAGACTAGTGCGCCTGCGGACATAGGTGCTCCTACGTCGGCTCCAGCAGTGGTGGACGCTGTACCGGCTCTTGGACAGGCGGGGCAACAACAGCCCACGACGATCCAGGAAGTCGACGGGATGCCGCTGAGTGGAATGAGCAGTGGTGGAGCAGAGCAAGGCATTGGCCAGCAGGGGTTTCACACGCCCCGTTCAACGGCGAGTCAGAACAACTGGCTGCAAGGACTGGAGGTCCCAAGATGGGTCTCGAGACTGGGGAATTACCTCAGCACTGGCTATCCCGAGCTGGCACCGAGTCCCCTTGTCGCAGGACGAAATTCGCCACCTCGTGGAGGGCAACCGTTTATGCTGCGCTCGCCTGTACGCCAGGTGCGGCAACAAAGACCTCCTACACCACCCTCTACCTCGAGTATCCCCAATGAGGCGATTGAGGCAGAGGTACAGCGACAGCTGGGTGGTATCATGGGGAGACTTCGCTTAGCCGAGGAGCAGAACGCTCTGTTGACTGCTGAGCTTGAGCATGCGAGACATGCTGTGAGAGAGCAAAGTGCAATGCGGGTTCCGGCAATGCAAGAACCCACTCCACTTCTAGGTGATCTTGCTATGGGGCCTATGGGACCTAGTGGACTATGGGGTCAACCCGAACCAGGAGCTTCTCTAGGACGGCTACGTGAGCAACCGGGACTACAGGGATTAAGTGGACCAGGACTACCGCATGAAGCAACACTACCACCGAGCATTCCTTCCGTCCTACCTGTAGGTGATCCCGCAGCTACACGACAACCAGCTCCGCTACCACTAGGTAATCCTCCAAGAGCCCAGCAAGGTCCCAGTGTACCTCCAGGCATACCTCCAGGAGCCCACCGAGGTGATGAGATACCAGGAAGCACGCATGGACTCCGGAGAGATCTGTTTGGAGATCACCGCGGGATACCGCCATCTGAGGAAGCTGTTCCTAGACCAACGCAGGGACTACTGAGGTCTTTGCTCGGACCAAGGCCGAGGAGTACATCACCGGATGATCGACGCCCCCCTCAAGACACCTCGGTACTGCATGCTTTGGCGCAAGGGGTAAGACAACTGCAAGAGCTACAGGCCCAGGCCATGACGAGAACCACAACAACCTCAGCAGCTGAGATAGTGAAGTCGGGTGCGTCTACTCTGCTTCCACTGCCAGGCCTGTCCGATCACGCGGAGGCGGCGCTGGCGTTTCAGGATTGGGTTGAGATGTCGTCTACTACAATGGGAGATATTAGTGAGAGGTCAGGAGCGTGGTGGGCATCTGTGGTTAAGACAGTTGAGAGCACTTACGCTGAGTGGCTTTCGGCTACACCTCTGGAGCGACTCGCGGTAGCTCCCCCTTCGAACCACGGCTTGACTGAAGGAATTTGGTCGAGGTTGAATGCAAGGGCGGCTTCAATGCTACTAGCGGCCATGGACGATGAGGTGAAGAATGAGATGGTTGCACTGAGAGTGACTCAGGACAGCGTTCGGATGCTTTTCAGACTTTATGTTCGGTTCCAGCCGGGTGGTGCAGCAGAGCGGTCAGACGTGTTGAAGAGACTCCAGAACCCAGGCGAGTTTGTTGGATCAGATGATCTGGAACATGTGCTGAAGGCGCTGCGGGCTTGGCCGAGGTGGCTAGCTCGCTGCAGGGCGGTGCGCATGGAGCCGCCTGATCCTACCGTTTTGGCGAAAGGATTGCTCCTGATGACTGACCGCTACGTCTCGCAGTCGGCGGACGCCGCATTTCGCACGGCTATGCTGAGAACAAGTTTGCGCCTGGATGCGCAGCCGTCGCTGGATCAAGTCCAGGCCTACCAGAAGCACCTTCAGGCCGAACTGGATGTGATCTCCGCGAGTACGAGACCTACTACGACAAGCGCACCAAGGGTGAGAGCCATAGACACAAGCGGTAGCCCTACGAAGGCGAAGGACAAGGACCGGGGAAGCGAGTTATGTCGCTACTTTGCTAAAAGTTCTGGCTGCAAAAGGGGTGACAAGTGTACTTACAGTCACTCAATGGCGACAATGGACCGTGAAACCAGAGCTCGAAAATGTCTGAGGTGCGGGAGTGAGGCTCATAGGCAGCGAGACTGCCAAGTCGGGAAGGGAGGACAGAGACCCACAACAACCACCACACCTACGACCCGTGAGCCGAAGAATGTCAATAGCCAGACTTCAACTCCCTCCCAGGCGTCCACGATGGCCCCTTTGTCACTTCCAGGAGCCGCTACGCCAGCCTCGTCGGTTTCGTCCTCCTTGGTTGGAACGCCATGGACCCTTGAAGCCCTTGTGCAAGCAGCCCAGCAGGTTGTTCAGAGTCAGGGTGTGAGTGATGGCGGTTCGTCTCCAGAGAAAACCAGCGGAAGTAACATGAAGAAGCTTCGCATCAGCAACATCCACGTGTGTACAACGGGGCGGGGATCAGCAGCCTTGTTGGACTCTGGGGCTACACACTGCCTGAGGAGCGCCCACAGCGACCAGGAATGGCTGGAGGCGGAAGAGATCATGGTGGAGCTTGCTGGTGGCAGCAGCTTGGTGATGCGCATGGGTGCAAGTGGCTCCTTGTTAATGCCCCCTACATCTACGCCTACCTCAAGTTGCTCCGCTACCAATGGGTCCCAAACCATCGTTCCGGTCGGACAACTTGTTAAGGTGCTGGGCTACACACTTGTGTGGGGACCTGGCAAGTGCTGCCTCCTGGACCCGGACGGGGAAAAGATCACCTTATCTACCTCCACGGGCTGTCCTCAATTGTGCGAGGCAGAAGCTTTGTCGATGATAGCTAGGATCGAGGACCGACGCAGGGAAACCTTGGAGAATCAGGTTGCGGACACGCAAGACAGACTTTCCCTAGCGGCTCTCGCGATGGAGCGTGGTTGGCAGGACCATCTCCAGGAGTATGTGGAGACAGGATCTACAACAGCAGGTGGCCGAGCACTAAGGGATGCCACGTTCCTCAGGGGACTTCCGGCGGAATGCCTTGAGGGACTTGTCCAGCCGGACATAAATCCCGGCAGCTGGGAAATCATGAAATCCATCAACTACCTGACAAGGCCTCAGCGCAGACACCTGTGGAAGTCGCGAAAATGGGTGATCCACATGTACGCGGGCAATCCTGGCCATTGGCAAGTGTTTCGTCTGGATGCTGGCGAGACTGCAGTCATTGAGTTGGACATTGACCGATGTCAAGCTCATAGTGTCCTCAACAATGCCACCTGGAGACTTCTTCTGTATGGAGCCCTAACTGGGAAGATAGATGCTATTGTGGGAGGTCCACCGGGGCGTGGAGGACTACGTGGCTCTGACAAGGACGTGAGGAACATGAAGCTGATTGCAAGAATGCTGTGGCTGTACGCCGTGGCAAAGGCCTCCAGAAGTCAGCGGAGCATGGCCCACAACAAGGACCGACCAGTGGGTTTCATGATGGAGCATCCGGCGAGGGAGTCCTTGACTACAACTACTGGGGTTGATCGTTCGATGTGGGGAACAAACCTATGGAGCGCCTTCAAGGAGGAAATGGGTATGGAAGAGATCACATTTGACCAAGCGGCGACGGGATCTACCACAACGTGCCCTACCACCTTGGGAACCAACATCTACTACCTCCAGGGCCTCAAGGACCTAGAGGCCGAGCAATCCCATGATGCGGCGTCTACTACAGGAGCGGTTGGAGCAGAATGGTCACCGGGACTGGTGGACGCAATCGCGATGGCGCTACGACTTTGGGACAGAGGGCCATGCGAGATACCGTCGATCAAGGCTATGACCCCAGAACAGTGGAAGAGCCATGTCGCTGGCGGGCACATGGATTACAGAAGAGATTGCCTCACCTGTGTGATGGGAAGGGGCACGGGCAAGCGCCATGCTAGAGTTCGCCACCCAGACTCATTCTGTCTCACGATTGACGTTTCGGGCCCTGTCAAGCCTGGTGTGGATTGTACGTCAAAGGGGACAATGGGGAAGGGGCTGAAGTACATGGTCATCGCAAAGTACACTCTGCCGCGCGAGTTTGTGAAGGGCTACACGGGCAAAGAACCACCTCAAGATGATGGGCTCGTCGTGGGAATGGCTTGTGAAGCTCCAGATGGTGAAGGTGAGGAGGAGCATGATAGTAGTGCTCATGACAAGGAACTTACCAAACCTTCTCTACCACAACCGCACGAAGGGGGTGAGGAGGAGCAGCATAGAAGTAGTGCTCATGACCAGGAACTCACAAAACCTTCTCTACCACAACCGCACGAAGGGGGTGATCCGTTTAGTCTGTGTGAAGATGAGCTGGACGGTCAGGATCGTGGTATAGTCGTTGACGATGAGCCGGGTGGGTCCAAGTCCATGAGTGATGAGAAACATGCAGGTTCTTCGTCGGGACAGCAGAAGCACTTCGAGGACTACGAGGACTCGTTGTATGAGCCGTCTGAAGTTGATGAGGGCATGATGCAGCAAGCTGAGGAGGAGGCTGATACCACCAAGGTGTTCCAGGACTGTGGAGAGCCGTTGACTACGAGTCTGTTGTTTGCGAGAGGAGTCAAGGACAACTTATCTTCAACGATCAAGGCGGTGATCCAGGACATCATCCTCTACTTGGAGGCGCATGGCCTCCCAGTCTATCGGCTGCATGCAGACAAGGGAGAGACCTTCAACCACAGCGTGAGGAGCTGGCTACGAGATCGTGGGGTGAGAGCCACGTGGTCGGAGCCAGGAGTCCCAAAGGGGAACGGAAGTGCAGAAGCAACAGTGCGCTGGGTGAAGGACCGGGCAAGAACGCTTTTGCTGGGTGCAAGAATGCCTACGAGACTGTGGGCGCTAGCGGCGGAAGCAGCAACGGCGATGCAGAGGGCAAAGGTCCTATCATGGAGATCAAGGATGATGGCTCCGTTTGGTGCGGTGGTTCACGTCAAGCAAAAGGCCTTTGATTCGTCCGGACCAAGAAAGCGCGACCGAGCATTTGAAACGAAGTGGCTGAAAGGCTACTACGTTGGGTTGAGCTCCATCCTCGACGGTGGCCATGTGGTTTATGTGCCCCAAGAGACTGAGGATGACAGGGAGAAGTTTCTACATACGTTCCATGTTCGGCCTAGGCTACTTGACCCCGGTGTTCCTCAAGATGAATTACATGTTGATGATCCACCAAGACCAAGGCGAAGAGTGGTGGAGAAGAAGTCGCCGGACCGTGTCGAGATGAGGACAATGGGACTGAGTGAAGCGGAGGTGCGAGAGTACGTTCTTCAGCGGTCAGCGTGTTTGTTGGAGATGTGGAACCTGGAGCAGGCTGAGCGGTTCATTATTGAACTGCTGGAGGCGGACTTCTTCGGAGAGCGGAAGTTTGGGATCTTTCGTCATGGAGGGTCAGTTGGGTGGCTCAATGGTTCAGAGGAGTTTCCGGACTTAGCCAGAGTCCTAGCGAGGATTGTTCATGAAGCCGAGCCGGAAGCCACCTTTACTTCGATATGGGTGACAAGGGATAGTATGAAGGGCTACCACAAGGATATCAACAACGATGCGGACACTGTTAACTATGCCCTCCCACTACAAGTCCCAGACAAAGGTGGTCAGTTATGGTTAGAGCTTGGCCAAGGTGATACCCTACGCGGCGAAGTTGGCGAGAGAGCAGATGCAAAGGGACGAGTTCACTATGGACAGATCCTGCCTTTGGTGAAGGGTCAATGCACAGCCTTTTGCCCGCGCCGGGGACATGAAGTTCTACCGTGGGTAGGGACGAGATCGATGATTTTGGCCTACACCCCGCAGTGCATGGGGAAGCTGGACTATGACATAGTGAAGAAACTAGAGGCCTTGGAGTTCCCAACCCCAATCTCGCAGCTCCCAGAATACTTCTCTCCAGATCCTCCTGGAATCCATCAAGTTACGCCGAGTGCTGTTGAAAAGAGCGATGTGCGAATCCAGGAGGAGTCCGTGAATGCTGTTACGGGAATGTATGGTGATGATGAATGGGAGATGTTCCTTGAGGTTCCAGATGGCGTGGTGAAGGTTGGTGATCATGAAGAACATCGACCACCGGAGTCAATTGCGAGAGCCGCCAAAGTGGAAGTGAGTTACACCCCGAACATAGAGCGTGTTCTAGCTGAGCTACGGGGACCACTCAAGGTGACTCATACAGTTGATCCTAGGGAAGTTCAAGAGAACCTCGAGCTGTGGAGAGGCGCCATCGAGAAGGAGGTGAAGAATGTAGAAGTCGCCATCCTCAGGTTGCTCCCAGGCACCCCGGAGCGGGCCATGTGGATCAAACGGCCCAAGGCTCAACGCCTCCCGGCCAAACTGGTCTTCACGGTGAAGCCAGGGGACTCACCCAATGAGGCAGACCCCACTACGTGGTTCAAACGCAAAGCGAGATTAGTTGTTTGCGGGAACTTTGCTCGACCAGACGAGGCCGACCTCTACTCGGAAACACCGCCCACCGAAGTACTCCGAGCTGGGCTGACGCTTTCTCGAAGACGGAAATGGTATATTGCGATCCTCGATGTGGTTGCGGCCTTTTTACGGGCCCCAATTGGAGACAACGCGAGTGATCCCACAGTATTGGTCACTCCACCACGTCTTCTACAGAGTCTGGGCTTGATTGTGGAGTGTGAATTGTGGGCATTGATTCGTGCCTTATACGGCTTGCGCCAGGCGCCAGCTCTTTGGTCGTCCTACCGCGACAAGACACTGGATGCGCTGAGATTTCCGGGCAACTTATCATTGCGCCGGGGACGAACAGTAACTGCATGGTGGGTCTTGCAAGATGAGTCTGGGGCAGTGTCAGCAGTGATTATCATATACGTTGATGACATAATGCTGATTGGACCAGAAGCCACTGTTAGAACCCTTTCCGATGCGATCCAGGCCCTGTGGAAGACCTCACCGCTGACGTTTCTTACCCCAAGTAGCCCTATTCGGTTTCTGGGCATGGAGCTCGAGCTTAGTGAGGACCTCAGCACGGTGTATGTGAACCAGACAGCCTATATCGAGGAGATCCTGCGAGCCTACCAGGTGCCGTCTGATCAGAAGGACAAGATCCCGATAAGCAAGGAGCTTGCGAGCTTTGAAGTGGGTCCTGATGATATTCCCCCAACCGTGGAGGATGTGGCTGCAGCTCAGAAGCTGACTGGAGAGCTGATGTGGATAGCCCAGAAGTCAAGACCAGATATATCATTCACATGCTCAATGCTAGCGAGTTTGTCTACGAAGGCACCCTCGAGATGTTTGGCCGTGGGAGAGAAGGCGCTACGCTATCTGCAAGGGACCAAAACTTGGAGAATGAAGTTCACCTGTGACAACTCAGAGTTGGTCCTCTACCCGGACGCGGCCTTTGCACCAAGCTCGGGAAGATCACATAGTGGTTGGGTTATAATGTGGTCAGGTTCAGCTGTGGCGTGGAGGAGTGCCCGACAATCAACAATTGCCCTCAGCACGGCCGAGTCTGAGTTACTGGCAATATTGGAGGGATCTGTTGGTATGATGGGAGTAGAAGCCCTCCTGTATGACGTTAAGGAAGGCCCCCTCACGAAGACGATTGCGAGTGACAGCACAAGTGCTTTGTCGATCAGCAGCGGGACGGGTTCGTGGAGAACGAGACACCTACGGCTCAAGGCGGGATGGATTCAGGAAATGCTCCAGACGGGGGTCCTGAATGTACGTCACCAACCGGGCATAACCCAGCCTGCAGACATGTTGACAAAGGCACTGGCATCGCAGCGTCTAAAGGCCCTGATGAGTTTGTGGGGAATGGAAGAAAAGGAGGTGAAGATCAAGCGCGTCAACCATGGGCTACCAGGACGTCCCTCGACTAAAATAGTGATGGCCCTTGTGTGCTGCCTGATGATGCTCACCGTGGAGGCGAGCGAAGTGGCCCCAAGGCCAATTCAAGTGGACCCGGACTTGTTGGGTGTTTCAATGGTTATGTTGATGATCCTGGGATGCTTGGTAATTTGGGAAGGTTTGAAGTGGTTGTTCTTCGAAGTGGGTCGTGAGCTACTACCAGGAGCGTCAGAGCGTAAACTACGAAGACTGCGGAAGCTACGGGACGCTACTACGGCCGCCATTGAGCGGGAGCTGAACCGGATTGAGGAAGAACCTCGAGTCCGGCCACAGCCCTCATCCACCGTTAGCGGAAGATCCGAGGAAGCGCTCCCCGCTGTTACCCTTAGTGAACCTGTCCCAGGCCCGCAACCAAGCACCTCAACGTCTTCCTCAAGAATGTTAACTCCTCCCCCGCCTACGAGATCAAGGGAACAGAGGCCTATATTTTCACCACAGAGTACACCACCAAGACCTCACACCGCGGAGGACCACGGTGAAGTCCAGAGAGTGTGCAGAGATGTAGCCGCCCTCATGAGATGTGAAGAACTACGTGAAGCTTTGCGCTTGCACAGTCTTCAGACTTCAGGACTCAAGTCCGACTTGTGTGCGAGACTTGGATCAGTAATGTCGGAGCGATGTGGACAAGGAGATGCCCCTACTGTCCGGCAATATCGCTACCTGCTGTGGCTATGGAGACATCATGATCTCCAAGGCCGGGTGTTGCTACATTGGGCTTCGATGTCAAATCGTGAAGCCACTTCAAGGACTATCCATCAATGGAACCAGCTGTAGAGTGAATGCTGCACTATCCTCCCGGACAGACAGAGGAGGAGTGCAGATAAGCAGACAGCTGGTCATGTGTGCAGATGCTGGTGCGTGGTGGCTTACAGGGAAGCTACGGAACATCACCCTTGGGCTGCAGTAGCATAGCACACCATAGCCTTTTGCGAAGCCTGCAAGAGCTTCTTAATTAGAGGGAAACAGTCACACGTATCATGTACAACTTTTAGTGTGCAGGCCTCTGAAGTGTGCAAGGACAGTCGTTTGTTAGCGAGAAAAAGAGATCGAAGCGTGCCCATCGTTTGAATCATGGCTGCTGTAAATTCGTCAGATGCTTCATTGCATCAACAGGTTTAGGAAACAGGGTTTAGGGTTTAGGGTTCAGGGTTTAGGAAACAGGGTTTAGGGTTTAGGAAAGAACGTTAGAGTCAGGGCTCTTTGGCTGTTGGCTTGCAAGCCCAAGGCTTACAGTTGCCGGAATGACGTCGGGTGAGGGGTTTGAACCTTTGAGCATGTTCAATTCATCTTTCATTGAATGCAAAAAGGCACCTCGAGCGTGGGATTGCCTGCCGAACCCTACACCCTGAACCCCAAGACACACGTTCCAGAAGTGCGGAGTCGAGTCCTCGTCGTCCCACGAACCATCGCAGTCTTCATGAAAGTTGTTGAAGGTGGCACCTCAACGCTCCGGGCCGTGATCATACGAAACAAACAATGAATGCAGGGCTTTAAATGGCTCCAGCATTTGGGCCTATGGTTTGGCCACAACTATAAGGGTAGTTCGGACACACGAGAGGCTGAACTGCAGATGGAAGCCAAGGCAATCCTACAAAGCGACATTTACGCAATTGTTTGAAGGCTGATGCAAAAAAAGTTGTGAGGTTTCCTGACTTGGCTTCGAAATCCTTATAGCTGTACTTACCCATCTGAAAGCTTTGTACCCATGATCTTCGAAGCAGGATCTTGTTTCCGAGGCACAGTCATTGTCCGCACTGTCAGTCGCTCCGTTTTCCGTGTCAACACACTTGATGAAACTGCACACGTAGATGGTGTCATTGTCGCGTTTGCGGACATCTGTCCACGGCACTGCTTCAACAAAGGCCTGTCCCACGCAGCCTACACCCCAGCACATCTAAACCTTGTAACCTCTCTTTATAAAAAGCCATTCAGTAGTATAAAAAGCCATTCAGCAGATCCTTCACCTATAATTCCGCTCCTGCCCATCCAGGGAATCTTCGGCCGAATACTCCACCAAAACCAGACCATGGCTGGTGACATTCCTCGAGACACGCAGCGAACAGTCGGGGTGGTTTCGGGTTTAGGATTTAGGGTGTAGGGTTTAGGGTTTAGGGTGTAGGGTGTAGGGTTTAGGGTTTAGGTATGAGGCTTTTCGACTTCAATTGCGGCCCCAGTGACATTCTGAAGTTTCTGGGCACAAACTATGAAGCTACTTCTCGGCCTAATCTCCAAACACTTCCCATGTAAGCTGCGTGCGACAACACGCGGGATACAAATAAGTTCATCTTGTCCTATACACCAGTGGGCCGACATGGTAAACATTGCTGTATGCCCAACGCATTTGGCAAGCGTTACCGTGTGTGGCGGTGCCTGTGGCTGTGCCTGTCGCTGTTGCTGTGGCTGTGTCCGTGTCTGTCTGTCTGTCTGTCTGCCTGTCTGTCTGTCTGTGTCGGTGGGCGGATCCATCGCAGCACAGCGGGCTCTTTCCCGCGGACATTCGGACCGAGAAGACGTTCGTCCTTTTGGCGCAAGCAAAAGCAAGTGATCTGATAAGGCACGACGGACTTGCACTGAATGTGAAGGCATCCTTCTTGTAAGTTGGGACCCCCTGCGAGGGTTGCGCTTGCGCGGCCCTAAACTAAAACCCAAAGCCCGAAGGCCTACACGTCAAAAGTCTAGATCCTGCACGTGTTATTTTGGTCCCAAGGTCCGAACAAAGACCGAAAAGTGAAAGCCACTGGTGGGATTGAAAGCCTCCACCTCGTGCGGGGAGACGAGTTCGCGGCTCAGGGTCCAATACCAAGGATGGTTCCCAGAGGGTCCAAGTACCCAAATAGTAGGGCTTTAGATCCCCAAATCCATACCCTGAATGGCTTTTGGAACTTGAAACCGCGCTATTTGGGTACTTGGACCCTTGGGGGTTTGGGGTTAGAATATTGTTTGGATTGCTCGGTTCAGGGCTTGGGGTTGAGGGTTCAGGGTTTAAGGTTTAGGGTTCAGGGTTTAGGGTTTAAGGTTCAGCAGCTCCGGTCCGGGAAGTATTACGGCAAAGTTGTATCTACAACTTAGATATAACACCCACCCACCCTCGGAATCCCGCAACATAAGAGCTACCAGCTTCTGAATTATCGAGGTCCTACACCCTAAAGCCCGAACCCAAATCAACCCTAAAGCCAGCCAGAGCTTTGAGCCTTAAACAGTAAAGCCAGCGCAGAGCCTTGTGCTCTAAACCGTGACCAGCCCTGAGCCCTAAAACTTAGAGCCAGCCCACAGCCCTCAGCCCTAGTTCCTAAACCTTAAAAGCCAGCCCAGAGCCCTCAGCCCTAAACCCTAACCGCAGCCCTGAGCCCTAAAGATTCAAAGCCAGCCCTGATCCCTAAAGCCCAAGGCCAGCCCCGAGCCCTGAGCCCTAAACCTGAAAGTCCCGAAAGCCAGCCCAAATCCCTCAGCCCGGAACCCTAAACCAGCCAGAGCCCTGAGCACTAGACCCTAAACCCTAAAGCCGGCCCAAAGCCCTGAAGCCAGGGTTTAGGGTTTAGGGTTTAGGCCCTGAGCCCTAGGACGACGAAATCGCCATAGCCCACGAAGGGATACTGGAAATCCGCAGGAAAACCGGTACCCCTTCGTGGGCAATCGCGAACATTGGCTGGAGAACGGCGCTGCCGGCGAACACCAGTAAGGCTCAAATAAACGAACACATTAAATAAATGAATACATATATACATATATGTATATTTACATACATACATACATACATACATAAATACATTGACAGAGAGGTTTAGGGTTCAGGGTTCAGGGTTTAGGGTTCAAGTTCAAGGCTCAGAGTTATAAGGATATCTATAAGGGTCACTATGAAGGTTTCTATGAGGGCATGCTTCATGGGGTAGGGGTTTAAGGACTCCTATACGAGTGCCTATACAAAGGTTCCAAATTCGCGGATTCCGATGAGTTGCTAAACGACATTGGGATTCTGGTGCTGGGCTGCGCTGCTTCTTTGGAGGTCATGTAAGGTGACATGTTATCCTTGCGCAATGCACAGGTGTTCTCAAGGAGCCGTGATGTTGCGCAGCCTTTCTTCAAGCAGCTTCCCAGGCCTTGTCGTCTCGTAGGCAGGGTGCTATCCGCGGACCACCATGCTGCTGCATGGTGCGAAATACATTCTTGTACAGCTGAGACGTATTCACCTGAGTGCATGGGTGCTATATGGACTCTGGGTTAGGTGGTTGTTGAAGCAAGTTACCTGAAAAGGAAACGCTGTACAACAAGCTGCATCTCAAGATCTCGCCAGCAGAAACCGTGACTAATGCTCCGACTGGACCAATGAACTCTGAACCTCGTTAACCCTGAACCCCTCAACCCTCAACAACGAACGCTCCAATTGCTTACGGCCCTAAAAGCTGAAATCCCCTAAAACACTTAAACCTAAGTCCATGATGTCCCCTAAATCCTAAGCCCCCCCAACCCCCAACGGCCTGGCGCCCGCTGCCTTGGGCGTACGCCTCGCCGAGCTTCTCCGCCTCAGCGAAAGTCCACTTGCCATCTCCATCCAGATCCAGGCGTCCAAAGTTGGTGCTGAGGAGCACCTGGAGGGTTAAACCCCAAGTAGGGGTCCCTTTCAGGGTACTTATCACTGGTTTAGGGTGGTTTAGGGTTTAGGGTTTAGGGCTTTAAAACCCGAATGGAGTTAGGTTTGGAGCTTCAGGGCTTGCATTGTTGAGGGTTGTAGGGTGCTAGGGCTTGAGGATGCTATCTTGGCTGCTGTGCTCGCAGCATCAGTACCGAGTAGGACTGCCACTCGTCAGCGACAGAGTGCGCTGTTCTGCCTGACTCCTGCAACATAGGCCTAACATGTGACAAGCAGTGCAGACAGATACAGGCGAATAGTGCTATAGTTCCTGCTGAATCTGCGGTTCTTACAGGCACCGCCATCAACGGCCTGGGGCTCACCAATGCCAAGACCCGCTTGCACAGTCAACTCTAAACATCTCTGAACCCTCCAGCTCCAAACCCCTGAACCCCATGCCAACCACAGGCCTGAGCTCTAAATCAAAACACCGTGTGCGCCCTTTCGACCTCGTCAGGCGTGCAAGAGAGACTGCTATTCTGCGTCCAGCAGACACCAGGTGAATCCGCAGTACCTTTGGGGTTTAGGGTTTACGGTATAGGGTTGAGGGCTCGGGGTAAGACCCATGCATGCAATTCTGAACCACCACACTCAGTAACGCATGCGTAGTTTATGTTCTCATGTTCAAGCCTAGTGCAGGTGCTACACAAGCTAACCTGTTTCAGCCAATCCGAGACCTTCTTCAAGCCGTGTTGGTTGCTTGGCGAGTTTGCCATGTGTCGATCTGTGCTTCCTTTTGTTGACAGCTGCAAGCGTTCTTTGATGCCATCTTCTTAGGTAAGCCGACAGATAGGAGGATGCTGAGGCTGACGAGTGCTTCAGATTCATTCATCTCGTCTTGGAGGGAGCAAG